TATGTTTTTTTTTCCCAATTAAGAATGTAGATTTTTATTTCCATTCAAATAAACAATACTAATCTTTACTTTTTTTTTCAGCAAGAATTTACTTGGGACCCACAGTTGATTGCCCAGGTCCGACGCCAGTTCCACAAAAAGGCCTCCTGAAAGTACTCGTTGAAGATAAACGAGTGGAAGGACATGTGGTACAAAGAAGGAAAGGTGCCTCGGAGAATGCAAGATAACCCAACGTTATGGGCTGGACTACTTGCCCATTGGGAACGGGAGGACACAAAAGCAAGCTCCGGAAAAAACTCGTCTAACCGGAACAGCGACCGGAAGGGGAAGGGACRYGCGACCCATAACCTCGGCGCAACGAGCAAAGCGTCACGTCTTGAYAAACTGGTAATTTTCTAAATTTTCCAAAATTTTATTTATAACKCCTCTRATATTTCCTTCCTTATCTKTGCCAACAGATTGAGAAGACCGGTGTGCGTCCGTCACATCTTGATTTGYTCAAAGATGCGCACACCAACAGAAAGACTGGTGAAATTCAAGATGCCATTGCTCGTGAAATCGTGGAAAGCGTGAAGAGGCTCGGTGAGGAGTACCTCCAATCCCAACCGATCGTCGAAGGAACTCCCCCGGCCACCGAAGTTCCACTAGAGATGATCAACGAGTTCACCTACCAAGTTAGTAACACTGTCAAATTTAAACAAATTTAAAATAAATTTGAATACAAACAAGTTAGAACATTTATTTATTTATCTTTTTTCGTAGGTTGCGCCTAAGACCAAAGGTCGTGTGTTTGGCCTCCCGGAAGACAGTTCATCCGCGTCCGTTAATTCTGACCGCTTTCACAACGTTCGGATGTTGAGGGCACAGAACGCCGAGCTTCTGGAGCGGGTGACCGTGATAGAGGCAAAACGCGCAGAAGATGACCCGCATGCAGGCAATGGAAGAAAAGATGACCCGCATGCAGGCAATGGAAGAACAGATGAGCGTCGTGCGGGCAATGGAAGAAAGGATGAACGAGTTCTTCCGTAACCATTCCCAGTAGWCTTTACMTTATGTAATATTTTAATTTTGTAAACCACTTTTAAAAATATTGAA